CCAACCGGCACGGCAACAACCGCCGGCCACGTCTACTTCCGGCGGCGCCTTCGCGTCACTTCCGGGCCAGTGGTAATGGTGGGGGGTAGCATCAACATCCGGGGCGGTGAGGGCATCAACATCCTGGTCACGCAGGCTGCCAACGTGGGCGGCTTCTCCGGTGGGTGGTGGTTGAGCCCGGTAAGGGGTGGGGGAAAGGGCAGCAGTTGGTTGGGGTTGGGGCCGCCTCCGCCTTCGTCGCACGCTCCGGCGGCAGCAGCGGCTCGGCCTGTCCGCCCCGGTGCCCCAGAGCTGGGGGGTGAGAAACAGGCCGCGACCGTTGCAGCCTGGCTCGACGGGCGGCGTATGTGCAGGGGGGCGTGGCGTGTGGAACTTCGGGCGCGAAATTGCTTGGTGCTGGCGACTTCGCCGCACTTCGCAAGGGGCAGGTGCGAGGCCCCGGGCCTGCTTGTTTTCTCCTATATTGCACTGGCCATAAACCTTCCCCCGGGAAGAGTCGCACAAGACCGAGTTCAGTGGCTGCTAATGCAGCTGCCCCTCACTTAACGAGGTTCTTGAAAAATGTGACTTTCAGCAAATCCAGTTACGTCACAGTAGTTGCCTACTAGTACGTGGCAGCTAACAGAACATTGCATGGCTTGAGTATGTTCTCGACTAGATCGGCGCCGCAATAACGAAACTATGCTAAATGGGATGCTGTTAAGTGAGGAGTACCTGTATTGTGGCACTGAGCCTTTAAGGAGCGCTATTCTTCAGGGCCACAGCCGGGCACTGAAATGGAGTTGGTTGCCTTTATCTTTTCCCATGTCAGACAGTAATAGCCACCCATGTGTGTGTGCGTGTGAAACCAACCCTGTGTGAATGGGAGAGGGAGAGAGAGAGAAAACCCTTATGGGAGCCGTTTGGAATAAATTTAACCAGTTCAAGGTTAGTTGAGAGCAAATGTAAAAGCGTCAACACAGGGGAATGTGCCATTTAAATAGATTTGTTTTAAGAACTAGTGACGCCATTGTAACTTTGCATAGGCGGGTACTTGGGTTCTTGGGACATCAGCTGAGTTATTCCCAGGTTACACAGGAGTGATTAGAGCCAGGTTTGATTTGAGAGCGAAATCAGGAGTTTGAAAGAGAGGTCATGCCCCAAAAGTTAAGTTGCTCCCGTGCTCTTAATTCAGTCAGGATGCCTAGGTATGAATTTTTTTCCTTCAGTTTAATCTTATGCATTATAATTTGCCATGCATACCATATATGCCACATGCCTTGTATCCAAATTAATGCTATTGGAGAAACTTAAGAGCTATATGTGCTACAAATTTCAGTTTAAACCAGGGATGGGCAAAATGCAGCCCGCTAGGCCATTCTATGTGGCCCGTGGGGCCCCTCAAACATTTAGAAAATTAATATTTATCTGCCCTTGGCTGCCTGTCATGTTGCCAAAATTCAGTAAGCAGCTCACCGCCTGAAATAATTGCCCACCCCTGGTCTAAACAAAAACTGTGAAGCAGGTTAATGAAATGCCTGTCTGGAGCTTTGCGCTGGTGTGGCTTTGTCGCTTCTCATGTGCTTATTTAAAGCTAGCTTGTGTGTCTCTATGCTAGGCTGTAGGCTACAGTGTATGTGTACTTGTAGTATTGCCATCAAATAGACATTTGTCAGTTTATTTCCAGCTTTGCTTCCCTTCCCTCCCCTTGAAGTGTCAAATCAGGACTCCCAATTCTTCTGTTCATTTGAATTGAGTCAGTATTATTCTGCCCTGTGTGGTCATTTAGAATAGCAGTCTACCAAACAGACTAGTAGTATTTTACACCAGCTTGGCTTGCATGTCGGTGATTATACGTGATGCAGTGAATGGGGCCAGTTGTGTGTGGTGTTATCATTTTTTTAATTAGTTTTTCTAAATGCCTTTTTCAGACTTGAAGTTTTAATGGCAGAGTTCCTATTAATCACGTTCCATAATGACTAGCAAGCAGATAGTGAAATGCGGGGAATAGCCATGCCTAGGGGAGCTGCTTTCCAGGCCCAGGCTCAGCCCAGTTCAGGAGCTTCAAATAGACCGTGCTGCTAGGTCTTAAATATGAAATTATCATGTTGGAAGCTCAAAATTATTGTATTTGCTTAAAAACTATCATACACTGAAAAACCATGCGAATAAGTTTTATTTCCTTTCTGTTGCTCACTGTATATCCCTGTGAGTGAGTGAGAACTGGGTCACCAACACTGAATAGTGCATTCTTCCTCATTAGAATACTCAAAAGTAGTGCAACCATTTTTGTTTGTGGGCTTTACTGAACCATTTTGGGTCAGAAGTAGGCAGGTGGGAGGTTTCTAGGACCCAGCTGCCACAGCTGCTTGTCCCTGCAGCAGCGCAGAGAGAGAGCACCTACTGCTGAAGCCCCACATCTGTGGGCTGAATCAAACAGCTCCATAGGCTGGGTCCAGCCCACAGGCCATAGGTTGTTCACCCCTGTAATGCTTAATGATAATTATTACATTAATGATACCTGTTTGATGCCCTGTTTGCAGTTTTAAAGAAATAGCAGCCCCAGATGACTTTTTACAGATGTGTTCAGCAGAATGTATTTCTTTTAAAATGATTGGTGTGATATTTATTTGTTGCTGCAGACTTGATTGAGCTCCCTCTACTGGAAACTTGCCAGACTGCTGGGAGGGAATTGAAACATTGATTCTAGGTCCAGGGCTTACTGAAGCTGTGTAGAATTAAGGCAACATTAGGGTTACCACACGTCCCAGTTTTCCCGGACATGTCCTTTTTTTTGGCCTCCTGTTCTCATGTCCAGGTGGGTTTTTAAAATGTGAGCAAATGTCCAGATTTTTACTTTGCCTCCACTTTTCCCGGGCATGAACAGCTTGGATCTGGGAGCAGCAGGCTGATTGGCTGTTGGGGGTCACGTACTCTGTGAGAGCCCTGGCAAGTGTGTGTGCACGTGCGTGTTCTCTTTTTTGATCCTGGAAATATGGTAACCCTAGCCCTGAATTATGGGCTTCTTAGTATAAAGACTTGATGTCCAAAACCCCTTTGTTATCCTGGTCCAAATGCCCAGGTGCTAAAACTAGCATAATTTTTACAAAGATTCATCAACACCTTTTGCATGTTCTCAGGAATTGCATTGACAGGGAATGGAAGATGTTGGCATCTTGCTTTGGCTGGAGTGAGGCCCAAGCATTGCTGTTGCCAGCTGTACCCATGTCCGTGAGCCCTGTCATGCTGCCTCATGGGGAGGGGCTGATGCAGTGGAGTGAAAGTTCTGGCCTAAAATTTACTTATTTTTTTTTTAAGGGTCATCTGTGTCCAGGTAGACAGGTTTTACTCCTTCCAGATCAGGCTTGTGCTGCAACTCCCATCTTCCTGAGCTCCCTTTTTACACAATCTTCTAGTTTCCTCTGTCATAACATCTCCAGATTAGCCCAGTTAGTTTGATTTCTACCAGGTGACTTTGTTGTGGGAGAATTTTTCTCTTGATAAACCAGTTCTCCTTAGCAGGAGGCTGCTATTTAGGGTGTTTCTGTTTCAGTTGGGAGGCACTTCAGTTATTCTTTTTGTTATCTCTGTACTAATAGCTGTATAAATAAGTCTTCTTGTCAGTATTGTAGTGTCCAGGTTATTTTACCTAGAATGCAGAAAAAAACAATGATTTTGCCAGCTCTGCTATACTAGGTTGATTTTATTGGTGTGTATATATATATATAGTTGTATTAGCAAGTACTTTCTGATGGAGATGCTGGCCTATACCAGTACAGTTATTTTTCTTCCCAGACAGGAGTATGGTAGTTTTACCTAGGGACCTAAATTGTAGCAAGACAAAGGGATTTTCATGGCCTGCTTGTGGCATGCAAAGCTGATTTTGTGGGCATTTAACAGTGACCCTACTCCTTGCTGCAGATTGGCAGAGGAGTTCTGGTTGCCCCATCCCTTGCTGCTGATTAGCTGAGGCACAAAACCTGCATAATTAAATGGCAAATTCTGCAGAAATATCATATAAATTACCACATTATTATAAATGTAAGTATTACATTTACATCTAAATGTATATACATTTATATTCATAATATATTTAAAATATGAACTGTAACTTATATTATTTGTAGCATTCTACAAAAAGTTCAGAAATACTAAATGATGCTAACTTTGATAGAAACCATTCATGTTGTTAACTGCTAGCATGCAGCATCCACCAGCAGTTGCAGCAGAAGTTTTCTCTCCGCAGTGTGAACACTTATCCTTACACTGAGATTCCATGTTGTGCATCTGCTGAATTGGCTGGAGTTATAAGGCAGCATTAGAAAAGTTGTAGAGTTATGGAAACTGGTCAGAAACAAGAAACAGACTCCCAAAACGCAGTGATAGTCAAAGGCATCTGGCATTCTGTGATAAAGTTCATGTAAGCAGCACATTCGTTGTTATGCTCTTTCTGCCATCCAGGGATTGATTTAAGAAGCTGTGTGTCAAAACTCAAAAAAGGTACCTGATTTGGGTAAAAAATGTGAACAGCACTAAAAAAAGGAGGCAGCTGTTTTTTTAAACTGGTGGTAATGCAGGGGTGGGCAAAATATGGCCCATGGACCAGATCTGCCCCACAGAGGGGCTTTGTGCAGCCAGCAGCAGGTTTCTTGGTTTTGCCTGGCCCAGGCACTGCCAGGTCGTGGAGCGTCCTGCTGCCCCCCTGGGCACGCAGTGGGGCTGAGGTGACTCTGCAGCTGGACTGCCTTTCTAGGCAGTCTGCTTAGCGGTGGCTCCTTCCAGCTGCCGCCGTTACTGGCCCCAGCCCTGCAGTACTGGCGGGGACACGCCCACGCAGCCCCAACCCGGCATGCCCCATGCCTGCTCCAGACTCTTGTGTCCAGGCTTAGCAGTGGTGACAGCTGCCAGGCAGAAACTGTTGCTTGGCATGGGGGGAAAAGCAACTCTTCCTTCTTGCTGCTGCTGGGCAATTCTTGGTGCAGCT